AAGGGAAAGGAGATTGTAAACTGCTCTGAGACTCCTTCGGGTAGTGAAGGGCGGGGTATAAATCCAATCTCCTTCTTCTTCTCCTCCTCCTCCTCCTCCTCTCTGAGTATCCTCCAGGCCCCCAGTTGGGATCAGTCACCAGAGGTTGCCATGCCTTCCAGGCGCACGCACACATACATGCGCGGGTGCACACACACACAAAGATGCAGACTCACTTATGGTGACGCACCCTCATGGGGTTCTCAAGGCAAGAGATGTTCAGAGGTGGTTTGCCATTGCCTGCCTCTGCTCAGCAACCCTGGACTTACCACAGACACTAGGGGAAATTCCTAGAGCGTCGCTGTGTGGAGGCCATTTTGTCTACCACTCCTCAGTTCCTCAGGGGCTGGTAATTTGGCACGGAGGGTGAGGAAACGGGAGACTTATCACATCACCTGACTAACTTTCAATCTTTCAGCTTCACTGCATGTCCTTAACACTTCCAGGGTAACTGAAACCAGCTTTCAGCTCAAAAAGTCGACCGAATAGAAAGAGAGAGGTATTTACTCACCTGCGGTCTCATTCACTTCACTCTCTTGCTCATTGTCTTCATCTGCCAATATGGGGGGGGAGAACACAAACACACACACAATAAAAAGAAAAGAGAAAAAAAAGAGCTGAGACTTTTGGAAATAACATAATGATAACAATTCCTGCTTTAAAGTCCAACGCCTAAGAAAAAAGTGAAGTTATTTTGCAGACAGACAGACAGAACAAAGTTTGAGCCCAGTGGCACCTTTAAGACCAACAAAAGTTAATTCTGGATATAATTGGTATTCATATACCCAGAATTAAACTTGGTTGGTCTTAAAGGTGACACTGGACTCAAACTTTGTTCTGTTGCTTCAGACCAACACAGCGACCCACCTGAATCTCAATCTCTCTCTCTCTGTCTGACTGATTTTACACAAGAGCTGCGCCGCGGTTGTACCTCCCTTTGCCCCGCGTCTATTGGTCAATTTCCCACTCGAAGCCGCGCTGCTGCATTTTGACCTGTGGCTTCACCCAATTTTCCCTGCGGTTTTGTGATCCTCAAAAAACAGGATCATGAAACCACGGGGAAAATCGGGTGAAGCCGCAGGTCAAAACGCGGCCGCGCGGCTTCGAGTGGGAAATTGACCAATAGAAGCGGGGCAAAGGGAGGTGCGACCGCGGCACAGCTCGTGTGTGAAATTGGTCTCTCTCTGTCTCTCTCTCTGTCTCTCTCTGTCTGTCTCTCTCTGTCTCTCTCTCTGTCTCTCTGTCTCTGTCTCTCTCTGTCTCTGTCTGTCTCTGTCTGTCTTTGTCTCTGAATCTCTCTGTCTCTCTCTGTCTCTCTCTGTCTCTCTGTCTCTCTCTCTGTCTCTCTCTCTCTCTGTCTCTCTGTCTCTCTCTCTGTCTCTGTCTCTGTCTCTCTGTCTCTCTCTCTAATCTACCTAGCTATGAAAATTTACATAAATATAGGAAAATGCCTGTAGCTACTGAAATATCATCAGCCTTTTCAACTGCAGAGTTAAAAGCCAAATACAACACATTTTGTATGTCGAGTTCAGGATTGTTAAATGCCGTTGTGCGGCATGTGTCAGAGAGTCACCAGGTAGAATGCCAGGCCTACAATCTTGGGGCTTGCCAAGCACATTAAAGCGATAAGTACCTTTAAAAAAAAGCCATACTGCTTTCAATTACATCGATCAACACGGAATTTAGGACCTCATTCGGCCAGCGTTCGCTTCGCGCACCTATTAATTCGACTGGTGACGAAGCAGAATCAGGTTTGGCAACGGTGGAGTCGGGAATAGGTATTTTAATTTAAATGTGGAGCTGCCCTGTGCTGAAGCACACCCACTGGACCATCTAGCTTGGCGTTATCTGCTCTCACTGGCAGCGGTTCCCCAAGACTCAGATAACAATTGTTCCCAGCACCTGTGATCTTTCAATTGGAGATGCTGATAGGGTTGCCAATTTCAGAGGGGACACAATGCCACAGAGCCCACCCTCCAAAGCAGCCATTTTCTTCAGGGAAGCCCATCTCTGTAGTCTGGAGGTCACATAATTCCAGCTCCCCAGGGCCCACATGGAGGTTGGCAACCCCATGGACTCAATTTTGGGGTTTCGTACAAGCAAAGCATGTATTCTGCTGGAGAGCTGTAACCCCTCACCAAATCCAATATGCTGTCCTGATAACTATCCTGTTGCTGTCATTTATATGTGTGCGTGTAGGTTAAGTGCTGTCATGGAGACAAGAAGAAGAACAAGAAGAAGAAGAAGAAGAAAAAGAAGAAGAGGAGGAGGAGCAGGAGGAGGAGGAGGAGATTGGATTTATACCCCACCCTTCACTTGGAGTCTCAGAATGGCTTACAATTTTCTTCCCACAACCGGCACCCTGTGAGGTAGGTGGGGATGAGAGAGCTCTTTCGAGAATTGCTGTTGAGAGAACAGCTCTGAGAGAACTTGTGACTGACCCAAGGTCACCCAGCTGGTGCATATGGAGGAGTGGGGAATCAAACCCGGTGCTTCCAGACTGGAGTCCGCGCTCTTAACCACTACACCAAACTGGCCTCAGAAAATTCCTCTCATTAACCGTCTTGCTCAGGTCTTGCAAACTGAGGGCCGTGGCTTTTCTGATTGAGTCCGTCCATCTCATGTTGGCTATTCCTCTTTTCCTGCTGCCCTCACATTTTCCCTTGCATTATTGTCTATTCTGGTGACTCTCATCTTCTCATGATGTGACCAAAGGACTATAGCCTCAGTTTAGTCATTTCAGCTTCAAGAGGAAATTCAGGCTTGATTGGATCTAGAACCCACTGATCTGTCTCTTTGGTGGTCCACAGCGTCCGTAAAACTCTCCTTGAACACCAAAACTGTCATTACAAACTGAACCACATGGAAACAGAACAACATGGGCATAAGAACATAAGAGCATAAGAGAAGCCAATGTTGGATCAGGCCAATGGCCCATCCAGTCCAACACTCTCTGTCACACGGTGGCCAAAAATACCAGGGGCCATCAGGAGGTCCAGCAGTGGGGCCAGGACACTAGAAGCCCTCCCACTGTTGACCCCCACCCCAAAGCACCAAGAATACAGAGCATCCCTTGCCCCAGACCGGGAGTTCCTATCTATACCTTGTGGCTAATAGCCACTGATGGACCTCTGCTCCAGATGTTTATCCAGTTCCCTCTTGAAGGCGTCCATGCTTGTAGCCACCGCCATCTCCTGTGGCAGTGAATCCCATGTGTTCATCACTCTTTGGGTGAAGAAGGACTTCCTTTTATCCATTCCAACCCAACCGCTCAGCAATTTCATGGAGTGCCCACGAGGTCTCGTATTGTGAGAAAGGGAGAAAAGTCCTTCTTTCTCGACCTGCTCTCTCCCACACATCATCTTGTAAACCTCGATCATGTCACCCCTCAGCCGTCGTTTCTCCAGATCAAAACAGATCATATAAAGAAGAGGAGCTGAAACAGTTAAAACGGGAATATAAATCCAGTTGGCAACAATTCTGAGATCGGATGAGACCGGGATCGCCTGGGCCATCCAGGTCAAGGTGGCCCCCAAGTTACGCGGCGCTTCTTTAAAAACCAGGGCAACTAAGCTAGTGACACTCCCCTGACAACACGAGCTCTCTATGACATCACAGGCCCAATCCACAGCACAGAGGAGACCAGGCAGGCAAGGAGATCAGTCCAGCAACCTTGGACTGCTTTGTTGGTCTCCCATCCAAGTACTAACCAGGGCTGACCCTGCTTAGCTGAAGGCTGGCATCCCCATCTCAGAATCTTAGGTCTATTCAGTGGTGCTTGCTCCCGGTAAAGTGTACTTAGGTTGTTGCTGTTGTTCAGTCGCACAGTCGAGTCCAACTCTTTGTGACCCCATGGACCACATCACGCCAGGTCCCCCTGTCTTCCGTCGTGTTCCAGAGTTTGCTCAATTTCATGTCCGTTGCCTCGATAACACTGTCTGACCCTTTCATCCTTTGCCGTCCCCTTCTTCTTTGACCTTCAGTCTTTCCCAGCATCGGGGTCTTCTCCAGTGAGTGCTCCCTTCTCATTTAGTGGCCGAAGTATTTGAGCTTCAGCTTCAGCATCTGCCCTTCCAGGGAACAGTCAGGGTTGATTTCTTTTAGGATTGACTGATTTGATCTCCTTGCTGTCCAAGGGACTCTCAAGAGTCTTCTCCTGGCCCCACTGGTGGACCTCCTGATGGCACTGGTATTTCTGGCCACTGTGTGATACAGAGTGTTGGACTGGATGGGCCTTTGGCCTGATCCAACATTGGAATCTCTTATGTTCTTATGTTCTTATGCTCCAACACCATAATTCAAAAGAATCTATTCTTCGGCGCTCGGTCAGGGATTAGGTTTATATTAACACCAAAGCCAGCATTTCACATTATGATGGAGATCAGGCTGAACGTCTAGTGAATGTGTATTCGTGCACACACACATAGGTAAGGATGGACACTGCGAACATTCGACAGGAGCCGTATGACAGCTTATGTCACATTTGCAAAGCCCATATTGTATTCTTTCCGTTATTGCTGGATCTTTCTTCCTCCTTTAGGCAAAAAAACCCACAAAAATCCCCCAAAACGTTCTCTGTTATAGTTGGAAAGCTATCAACAGTTTGAGAACAGTTTAATGTAATGTCAACCTGTGATGCATTTCTGGAAGAACCATCCAAATAAAACCATTATATGCCAGGAACAGACGTATTATGACCGTAAACATCCATGTTGTCCCAGTCAATATTTACAGGATCACATCTTTATCTTTGAAATGAGATATGATTCTCTCTTTTTCTGTTTCCCCAAAACATCTGAATCAGTGTCTTTTTACGGATAGCTATGTTGTCGCTCGAGCACAATAGAGACAGCATGGATGGCACTTACAGACAGGGCTTGCCAACAAGAGACTCGCTCGCACTTCCAAATACCTGCTTACATAATCACCACTCACTCTTCTGAATCGCTGCGAGGAAGTCGTGCCCACACTTCATTAGCCAAGTTTCAGACGCATGACTCATTCTCAAAGAAAGTAAACCAAGCAGAGGCCTTGTTTGAAGGAGTAAATGAGATCGGGTTAGACCCCATGTAACGGTTCAAGCTCTGTGCCAATTAAGGCAGAAGTGAAGGTTCGCTGCTGTTATCATTCGCAGCCCAGGGCTGGCTTGACAGTAGAGAACAACATGACCCCGAACGGACAATCAGACTGAAGATTTTCCTTCTCCTTTTCTTCCTGAGTCAAAGAACACAAGCAAATTTGGCTGCCGAACTCCTGCCTGCGGGACCAGCTTGCCAACTCCGTCTGTGCCAATTTCATGCTACATAACCACTCTTCCCCTCCTGGAGAGAAGCTTGAAGAACTCCAACGTGGGAATGTCACTCAATCAGCACGGAGTCATACACTGGGGAGGGATTATTGGCTGGTGTGCCGTATCGTGTGGAGTACCGTGTGGAGTTCTGTTCAGGATACGACACAGCTGGAAACGTTACAGAGGACCACCGAGACGGTTAGCTGGTTGGAGCACCTTCCCTATGAGGAAGAGTCTGAGACTTTTCACTTTAGAAAAGTGAC